AAATAAGGAAAAAATACACGAAGAGTTAGTTTTAGTAATAGTAGTGGAGTTGGCTTTGGAGCAGATGTATGGAAGTGAATGGTATGGAAAGGCCAGGGCATGGATGGCCTCTTTCAAAGAATAGGGCATTAAGTATGAGTTAAAAGCAATTGTGAGACAATAATTCAAAGGCAAAACATGGCATTTGCGGCTCAAAAATAGATGATATAACAGTGCAAACGAAGATCTGTTTTTCACCCAAAAAATAATGCAATTAAAGCCCACAAACAAAATAAGTCCAAAATTACTGCACATTTTTAATGTGTTCAAAACCAGTTGTTGTTGGTCTGAGTGATGGACTCTCTCTCTCTCTCTCTCTCTCTCTCTCTCTCGTAATGAAGAAAAATAATTTTATAAAAGAATGGCCAAAAAATCATTTGGAGAGCCATTTAATGAGTAGAATATCTTAATAAGTGTTGTGTTTTTAGGCGGAAAGGAGTGAAACGAAGAAAAAACAACAATCATTTCTCTGTTGCGATGGATTGTAAAGACTTCACGTATTATATAACTCCTATGCGATAGTGAGTGAAGAGTATGTGTTGTGAGCACTGGTGAGCATCACATTCAAAGGATGAATGATTTTTCCCACGAGTTATCTATTTCTCTATTCAACGGTCACTGAACATACACTAACACATCTCATACACTACACACATAATACAGTCCTACTATTACCTAACATACCGGTGCCACTGCTATTAAAGTCGTGAAATATCTATACTTCAGTAGCCAAACAGATATATACAGAAAGACACTCACGCAATACCAGAGCAGAGAAAAAAGTAGCAAAACTTTTGATAAAAAAAAGAAATATTCCGAAAAAGATAGGAATTATATTCTCTGTATTTCTGTGTAATATAAAGAAATAGTGAGATTCTGGGGCTTAAAGAATATTTTATTTCTGCCCAAAATATATTATTAGTGTAACTGAAAAATGTTTGAACTTTTTTTTTCTATTCTCAACTCGTTTTTTCGGTTTTGCCTCTCGTTTTCCCAAATACTATGGCATCAAAGAAGACAATAGTTTTTAGAGCAGAGATAAAGTTAACGCAAAAATGAATGAGAAGTGTCTGCGAAGTGAGTCTCCTATCTTATTTCACATAATAACTTAATCTATGTTAGAGCTCTTCTCTCTCTCTCTCTCTCGTAGAATATATTCTGTGGCATAAGTCAGGCACAGGTTGGATGAGTTTTGACTCTAGATTGACACCAAAAGTAGGAATAGTAGTACTGCTGTAGTGTTGCTGTGCTATAGCTATAGCTATAGTCAGCAGAACAGAAAAGGAATTAAAAGGCGCTGCACCAGAAAATGCCAAATGTGTCCCCAATGACAACCAAACACATCCAATACATCCAGAGGTTATACTGGTTAGCCATCGACAGTGCAATCCGGGACACAATACACTGCGCAAACTTAACCATGCATTCACACACTGCCAGAGAGAGAGAGAGAGAGAGAGAGAGAGTCCATCACTCAGACCAACAACAACTGGTTTTGAACACATTAAAAATGTGCAGTAATTTTGGACTTATTTTGTTTGTGGGCTTTTACACAACACTTATTAAGATATTCTACTCATTAAATGGCTCTCCAAATGATTTTTTGGCCATTCTTTTATAAAATTATTTTTCTTCATTACGAGAGAGAGAGAGAGAGAGAGAGAGAGATTGCGATGCAATGACTGAGTCAATGAATGAGTGAACGAGTGATACTTTCGTTTTTCAGCAAAGAATTTCAATTTGAGGGCTGAGGGGATGGCTTCACATGAATCACTGATTCTATGTTCTTCTCCCGAAACCCCAAACACTAACTCTGAGTTTTGTACAGAAAGTCAAACAAAAACATATTTCCCAAAGAAAATAATAAAAATTAGAAATAGTTTATTCAGTAATGAAGAGAATAAGACTGAAATCACAGCCTCTCTCCCTCTCTCCGCATAGCAATGCTTTAAACACCAAATTCAACACAACATTACGCGAAATCAAATATTTATAAAACAAATTCTGTTTTCAAATACATTATAAATACTTCCATCGAAAAGAAAAATCTGATTTCAATTTGATATTTGATTTTACAATTCGTGTCAATATTTTGTTACTTTAAATCGAGAGAAAAAACATACAAAATAAAAAAACAGATGAAAAGAAAAGCTTCGCTCGCATTCAATACACACATCTAAAAACACATCAGAAATTCTACACTAAAACTCTAAACTCTTAGAAAAAGTACTTTAAAACCATTCGGAAGTTTTTCACTCTTTGCTATAAATGTGAGCTAAAACTTATAGACAGTATCTTTCGGTCGATGTATACCGTAATACCGTAGATACTGAGCAGTACTGTACTCTACAGTAATAGTATATGTATTGAAAACATTTCAAAGTAATCCATTTCCCGTCGGATTTAAAGAGTCATCACTTTATTCACAAGAATTAAAAGCGATGACGAGTGGAGATATCGTATTGAATGCCACTCTCTCCTCACAACACGTATATATACGCACACTGTATATACAAAATGTATATAAATTTATATAACATATATTCTGTATATTTGAAACTGTTTTCGAGAATAATTGTTATCAACTAAAAATTTTAGACAAAACTACAGAATTTGATATTTTGACAAAAGAAGTGCTAAATATTATTAGACTTATCTCTGAATTACATTTTAAATTAACACAACTTTCGCCAAAAATAAGTCCAATAATAATCACCAACAAAAAAATAAAAATATTTTCAAAATAAATTTAAAATAAACTTTGGATTTAATCGATAAAATGCATTGATTTCATGATATATTAATTAAAACCTAAACAAAATATAATTAAAAAAACATTTAAATTATTAAAAGGCATAAACAATTCGCGCGAATATCCCATAAAAATAATTCAATAGAAAAAAATATCTCATAATTTGTTATGTAATACACGCGAAGGAGGAGTTGAGTAACATTTGTATACAAAATGCTAATAAATTATTAAAGGTATTCATTAGAAGAAATATTTATAACAATAGCAGAGAATTGTCAGCATATGAATGAGAATTGACACAAAAATAGGCAAAATATAAATTAATACAACAATCAGATGACAGCAAAACTCATCAAATATTCAGTAATTTCAGAATATAATAAAATTATATAAAATATTTAAAAATATATAGAAATATAAAAAATCAATTCGTGAGACAAGTAGTCGTCACAAGAGATGCTTAGGGTTTGCAAAACACTTGAAAAAGTGTTTGAAAACTCAAATCGATTTTATACTTCAAAGGAAACCAAAATAGAAAATTCAAAAACTAATTATACTATTTTAAAGAAATTAAATGACATAATAATTATGATTAATAAGCGTTAGGTATATATATTAAGCAATCATTTAGACTACGCTATGACTTGAATCCAATAGTAAAATACAATACAATATAAACTTATTTCAAATTCAAGACATTTAATATGTAGTTGAGAGAGAGAGAGAGAGAGAGAGAGAGAGCACGGGCAGGTTGAAAGTGTATTCTAACTCTATGTAGAGGGGGTTTGGATGTTCATTAAATGGCTCTCCAAATGATTTTTTGGCCATTCTTTTATAAAATTATTTTTCTTCATTACGAGAGAGAGAGAGAGAGAGAGAGAGAGAGAATGCTGGCAGTAATAGAGGAAGCAATGGATTTGAAGTGATGTTCACGAGTGAAGAGTGTGTATATATTGTTTGGATTGCAATCATTGCAAATATAATGTGAAACTAAGAGATTGTGATACATGTTATGTCATACAGATATCGAGCTCTCTCTCCATACAAGTGATGCAGAAATCGGGGATTGAATGGCAATCCCTCGAGTGATGTGCCAAATGTGAGTCAAAGCTCAGACCAGCCAATAGTGAGACCAAAGGGGAACAACACATCACTGGCATCGCATAGATATATACAGCAAATGCTTTACAAAAATGCAAATTCATTCACTCATTCAGGCATTGAAACACTCCAGAGTGTGTGTTAGAGATCTAACCGTAAGGTCTGCTAGTGTTAGGTCTCTCTATCTATCTATTCACCGCTCGAGAGTTTGGGAGCTTTACTGCAAACTCTTGACATGCAATGCAATCAATGATGCAGCAGATCTGGCTGTGTGTGTGTCGACCCCCTCAGCATCCAAACCCCCTCTACATAGAGTTAGAATACACTTTCAACCTGCCCGTGCTCTCTCTCTCTCTCTCTCAATAACATAGTTTAAAAAACGTATATTCAGTACTCAATATACATATATGACAGGAGAGAAGTATATGCACGAGAGGTGGAAGTGGAGTACAAGTGAAAGGCAGAGGCACTGGTAGTGATGGAGTCTGTGGTAATCTGCATATAAATAGCTGTCCTTTTTTCGATTGTGTGGTACATGTCATGTAAACATAGATAGACTGGTTGTTGCGCTCCGGGAGAGAGGGTCTTGAGAGGGCACACAACGCACTGCCGAAGGAATATATCAGTGCATACAGAATGGGATTCAATGGGAATCACTCCCAAATCTCAATTAAACCGCACCGCACTAACAGTGAGGGGTCGGCTCGCAAACCAACGCTCGCCCAACAACACAGTCATCCTCTCTCTCCACCACTGCTACCAATTGAATATAATTTTCTTCATCAGGCAATTCATTTCACGGACTTCACTGCCGAGAGAGAGAGAGAGAGAGGATTGAGAGGTTGTGTAGCGGGCAAACAGTTGGAGAGACATAACATATATAACTGATAAGAGTGAGAGAGAATGAGTGCGTGTTCTGACCTATGCCTCTTAGAGAGAGAGAGAGAGAGAGAGAGAGAGAGAGAGAGACTAAACTGGCCATTATTTTATGCATGGGGTACTAAATTGTATGCCATATTTTTCATCGTTTCGAAAACTTTGTTTCATTTTTACCCAAAACTCACAGTCATTTACTCTTCGGCTATAAATCGACTTTTGTTTCAAAACGTCACACAATATAATACCATTTCGGCAGCTCTTGAGTAGTAGTAGTTTCAGTGCCTCCGTAGCCGTGCATCTGTTGATGACAGCTCTTCCAGTTTTGGGTGCAGTCGACTGAAAAGCGACTGTTTTTGGCATTTCATAGGCATTGGCGAAGGCATCGCCACAGAGGCATAGGTCAGAACACGCACTCATTCTCTCTCACTCTTATCAGTTATATATGTTATGTCTCTCCAACTGTTTGCCCGCTACACAACCTCTCAATCCTCTCTCTCTCTCTCTCCTCATGTATTATTTGATTCATTAACTTTTCAGTGCAAACTATTTTTGTTTTCCAGTTCACAAATATTATCTCAACGCTCACTGGTATAGCCATCGCTAAACACCAGTCGCCCAATGGTTTGAGTCAGTCATACCTTTGTGCGCCGTTCCGGTGGCCACACGTCGGGCTTCTGTGTCAGACGTGTCATCGCCGGCATCTCTGGCCCACTCGAGCACTAATGGTCTGCCATATAAGTGAGTTGAATGGCATAACGCGTCAAACGCTCTCTTCGTATAGCAAATGGTTTTTTGTAGAGAAAAATAGAGAAAAAAGTCAAAAACGGAATTAAATCTCAAATACTTTTCATACATAATAAATGAGAAAAAACAAAATCAAAAGAAAGCCTAAAAGTGAAAAACAAAGTCTTTTTAAGAAGTAGAGCCGATTCACTCTCTCCTTATGTATACAGTAGTACTGTATAAATGCTATCAAAACAGGGACTAAACATACAAATAAATCCCTTAATAAAAATTTTAAAGCATTTTGTAGACGAATGAATAGTTAAAAACATTGGCCGCGGATTTTCTGCGTCCGTTGAACGTACTTTTGCGTCGGTTTTGGTTACAAAGTCTACGAAACCAAATCCACGATAAGTTCCTATTTGTGCCAATTTCTTCGGCAGTCGCACTGCTTTGAGTTCACCGAAAACACTGCAAATCATCAAAAAACATAACTTATTAATTAATGAATACATCTCTACGTAAAGCATCGCAACGAAGAGAAAAAATAAATTAAAATGTGAACAAACGGTAAAAAGCAATAATCAGTTAAGAGTAACGAAACAAATAAAACACATAATTGACAGTAAAAAAAAGGTGTATTGAAAAGCCTTTTACATTAGTACTCATTAATGCGATCATCCGTTCAATAATCACGAATTGTTCACAAAAATTATATTGAAGTTTACATTACATAAGAGAGAGAGAGAGAGAGAGAGAGAGAGGCGAAGTTTTTTGCAACAAATAATTTAATGGTTAAATAGTTTTCAATAGACATTACATGCAAATTCATGCAATGGTTATTTGAGTTTTTGTGTGGAGATAGATAGATAGAGAGAGAGAGAGAGAGAGAGAGAGAGAGAGATTTTTAACTATTCATTCGTCTACAAAATGCTTTAAAATTTTTATTAAGGGATTTATTTGTATGTTTAGTCCCTGTTTTGATAGCATTTATACAGTACTACTGTATACATAAGGAGAGAGAGAGAGAGAGAGAGAGAGAGAGAGAGAATGGGCTGACATTTACCTAAAAAGCTTTTTCACATCGTCTTGCGTGGCCTCAAATGGTATATTCTTAACACAAATCTTAGTTCCCGTTTGTTTCGATTGTGTCTCATTGGCTGATCTCCGACCGGAAGACGCATTTTGTCTCCTAAGAAATGACAGATAATAACAGATTTTCAATCAATTTAAGAATTAGTATTAATATATAAATAATAAAAATGTATACAATTGTGTGGTTCTATTGGAAAGTTTGAGTTCTAGTGTGTGTCCATCGAGTACTGAATTCTGCAATTCTTTGAGCGCCTTTTGAGCAGATTTTTGATAAACAAATTGAACGAAACCGTAACCCATAGACAGCACTTTATCGGCACTCTTCTTGTAGGCGATGTTCGCGCTATATATTTGTCCACATTTTCGGAAATGATTGCCAAAATCTTCGTCACTCGTCTCGAAGTATAGATTCTTCACAAATAAAGTCGTGTCCTCTTCCGGCTCTATATCTAACTCTTCATTCGTATTCGTTTCGTATGGATTTCTGTCGGGTTTCTCATCGCTAGTAATGTTCTGTTTAGTCAGTTCTGCGTCCGTCTTCTCCAAAGCGATCAATTCGTCGATCTCTTTGTCGATATTCTTGTTGTCGGGATCTCTGAACACGTTATCCGGAGCCCACTCTAGATATAGCGGGAAGTGTTTGAAGTTATTGTACGCCAACTTATTGAACGCCTGTTTCGCTTCGCTCGTCTCTTGCATCTCAACGATAGCCGTCACTCCATTGGGCGGTAGAATCACTCTCAGAACGAGTCCGTGTCTCTCAAACAGCGCCCGAATCTCTTCGGCTTTCGTATCGATGGGCAAATTCTTGACGAGAATCACTGTTTTGCTTCTCTGACCGGCGGACGACTCGCCGAACGCTTTCAAATGGACGCCATTCTCGAGCAAAAAGCGTCTCATTTCGTTCACAATCTGTGTCTCTCCCAAAGCCATCCGTACGGCGACGCTATCTTTGGCCGTACTGTCGGCCAACAGATCCGACTTTTTTATGTTAAACTTTTTGGCCATAATGTCCGCCACGGCGTTCGTACCGATGAACAAACTGTTCCACTGATGAGAGCTATGGGCGTCACTCTTTTTCTCTGCCTGTTTTGTCTTCTTATACGACGACTTCTCGTTCTCCGCCACAAACGGCGGCACAAAGTCTTCGGGTTTGGGTTTAGCAGCGATCAGATGCAGTAGTCGTCCGCGAAAATCGGTTTTGTCCAACTCTGCGACCGCTTTCACGGCGTGTTCTGGGAATACATACGTCACGAAAGCAAAGCCCTTCTGTTTCTTCGTGTATGAATCGATGGGTAAATTAAACTCAGATAACTGTCCGTATTGTTCAAAGAGTTCCCGCAATTCTGTCTCATCGCAGGTGTAGGAAAGGTTGCGGACATATATTCTGCCCGATTCGCCCACCGGTTCCGACGCCGGTTCCGCAAACTTCCACTTCGGCTCCTTTTTTGGGTTCACTTTTGTGTTGGCGTTTGCGTCGGCTTTGGGTTTATTGGCGTCCATTCTTGTGATCTCAATGCGGTGGCCGTCCATAAAACCTCTGTGTTTGACCATCACTTGTGTCAACTCTTTCTGCGTCCCAAACGATATATAAGCGATTCCTTTCACTTTCGGCGGTAACCGAAGACTCATAGGCTTTAGAGGTTCGATGAAGTCTTTGATCTGACGCTTCTTCACTTTGAATGGAAGTCCTTTCATGTCCGTTGAACGTACTTTTGCGTCGGTTTTGGTTACAAAGTCTACGAAACCAAATCCACGATAAGTTCCTATTTGTGCCAATTTCTTCGGCAGTCGCACTGCTTTGAGTTCACCGAAAACACTGCAAGTAATCATCAAAAAACATAACTTATTAATTAATGAATACATCTCTACGTAAAGCATCGCAACGAAGAGAAAAATAAATTAAAATGTGAACAAACGGTAAAAAGCAATAATCAGTTAAGAGTAACGAAACAAATAAAACACATAATTGACAGTCAAAAAAAGGTGTATTGAAAAGCCTTTTACATTAGTACTCATTAATGCGATCATCCGTTCAATAATCACGAATTGTTCACAACAATTATATTGAAGTTTACATTACATGAGAGAGAGAGAGAGAGAGGCGAAGTTTTTTGCAACAAATAATTTAATGGTTAAATAGTTTTCAATAGACATTACATGCAAATTCATGCAATGGTTATTCGAGTTTTTGTGTGGAGAGAGAGAGAGAGAGAGAGAGAGAGATGCATAGTATTGAAAAGCTGAAATNAGAGAGAATGGGCTGACATTTACCTAAAAAGCTTTTTCACATCGTCTTGCGTGGCCTCAAATGGTATATTCTTAACACAAATCTTAGTTCCCGTTTGTTTCGATTGTGTCTCATTGGCTGATCTCCGACCGGAAGACGCATTTTGTCTCCTAAGAAATAGCAGATAACATATTTTCAATCAATTTAAGAATTAGTATATAAATAATAAAAATGTATACAATTGTGTGGTTCTATTGGAAAGTTTGAGTTCTAGTGTGTGTCCATCGAGTACTGAATTCTGTAATTCTTTGAGCGCCTTTTGAGCAGATTTTTGATAAACAAATTGAACGAAACCGTAACCCATGGACAGCACTTTATCGGCACTCTTCTTGTAGGCGATGTTCGCGCTATATATTTGTCCACATTTTCTGAAATGATTGCCAAAATCTTCATCACTCGTCTCAAAGTACAGATTCTTAACGAATAAAGTCGTGTCCTCTTCCGGCTCTACATCTAACTCTTCATTCCTATTCGTTTCGTATGTATTTCTATCGGGTTTCTCATCGCTAGTAATGTTCTGTTTAGTCAGCTCTGCGTCCGTCTTCTCCAAAGCGATCAATTCGTCGATCTCTTTGTCGATATTCTTGTTGTCGGGATCTCTAAACACGTTATCCGGAGCCCACTCTAGATATAACGGGAAGTGTTTGAAGTTATTGTACGCCAACTTATTGAACGCTTGTTTCGCTTCGTTTGTCTCTTGCATCTCAACGATAGCCGTCACCCCATTGGGGGGTAGAATCACTCTCAGAACGAGTCCGTGTCTCTCAAACAACGCCCGAATCTCTTCGGCTTTCGTATCGATGGGTAAATTCTTGACGAGAATCACTGTTTTGCTTCTCTGACCGGCGGACGACTCGCCAAACGCTTTCAAATGGACGCCATTCTCGAGCAAAAAGCGTCTCATTTCGTTCACAATCTGTGTCTCTCCCAAAGCCATCCGTACGGCGACGCTATCTTTCGCCGTACTGTCGGCCAACAGATCCGACTTTTTTATGTTAAACTTTTTGGCCATAATGTCCGCCACGGCGTTCGTACCGATGAACAGACTGTTCCACTGGTGAGAGCTGTGGGCCTCACTCTTCTTCTCTGCCTGTTTTGTCTTCTTATACGACGACTTCTCGTTCTCCGCCACAAACGGCGGCACAAAGTCCTCGGGTTTGGGTTTAGCAGCGATCAGATGCAGTAGTCGTCCGCGAAAATCGGTTTTGTCCAACTCTGCGACCGCTTTCACTGCGTGTTCGGGGAATACATACGTCACGAAAGCGAAGCCTTTCTGTTTCTTCGTGTATGAATCGATGGGTAAATTAAACTCAGATAACTGTCCGTATTGTTCAAAGAGTTCCCGCAATTCTGTCTCATCGCAGGTGTAGGAAAGATTGCGGACATATATTCTGCCCGATTCGCCGACCGGTTCGGACGCCGGTTCCGCGAACTTCCACTTCGGCTCCTTTTTTGGGTTCGCTTTTGTGTTGGCGTTTGCGTCGGCTTTGGGTTTATTGGCGTCCATTCTTGTGATCTCAATGCGGTGGCCGTCCATAAACCCTCTGTGTTTGACCATCACTTGTGTCAACTCCAAGACGCAGGGTTTGCTATATATTCGCTAAGGAAAGTGAAAGCCGCCATTGGCTTCTGAGTATCCGAAATCTCCAAGCTACTTCAGAAACTAGACTGCGAAGAAGTGAAACTTACCTTCAGGAAAGTGTTTAACCACAAATTCGTGCATTTCTTTGGGAATTACTTTTTGGCGGCTCTTCTTCTCAAACTTCTTCGACGACTTCTTCTTATCGTTGCCGTCATTCTTGTTGTCGTCGTCTTCTTCTTCTTCCGGACCTTCAGACTCGTCGTTCTGGTCGTCGTTATCAACACTTTGGACATTATTCTCAGCTATTGTCAGATCATTACTCCAAATGTGTTTCCCTTTTCCCGAATCGACATTCCTCTGGAGTTTCAGGAATTCGTCGAATTCTGGATCCTTTCGGAGTTCTTCCAACTCGTCGTTCAATATCTTCTTCTTCTTCTCCTTCTTCTGCTTCTTTTCGATGTCTTTCTGTTGTTTCTCCTCCTCTGCGATGAGATCACGAGTTTTGTCGTATTTAATGAACTTCTTGTCCGTATTGTCACTCAAATTAACGCTAATCTTATTCGTGAAGATATATGTCTTGTGGAAGTAATTGATGGCCTCTTCGGCGCTGTCTTTGTCTTTATAGCCAATAATGGCGTGACGTTTGGTTGGATTCACATTAATATCAGTGATCTCTCCCTTCGTCTCAAACCGTTTCCGCAATTCATTGCTATTTATCTATCAATTGATCCAAAGATATNCTTTGTCTTTATAGCCAATAATGGCGTGACGTTTGGTTGGATTCACATTAATATCAGTGATCTCTCCCTTCGTCTCAAACCGTTTCCGCAATTCATTGCTATTTATCTATCAATTGATCCAAAGATATATCAAATTTAGACATCATTTTTGAGACCAAAACTCGTGTCAAATATTTTACTCACATTTTTGGGTAAATTTTGAATAAAAATTCGCGGCATTTCTCACATCAAAAAACAGTGCTTTTTATTAATTAAATAGTAATAAATTAATCATAAAATTCACGATTAAAATGGTTTACAAATTGTTTACTAAAACATAATTTAATTGTTTTTACATTCAATTCAATGCGAAATCCAAATAACATTTGAAAAGCATTTTCGTAGTAAACAAATCACACGTGAGTTTAGATGTGTTAACCGTTAGTGACATCTGTTGTCAATGTCTCGCATATAATGTTTGCCTTAAAAACTATTTGTCAAACTTTTTCGCCCTTTAAATATTGGTGTAAAACAAGTGGATCCGATGGTGTGATCATCACTTCTTGTACACATTGCTGTAGAGGGTATGTCCGCCCACTTCCACAACGATGGGTCCCCTTTTGCCCGAATGGCGACGATTGCCATCCCTTTGGATATTGACGCGAACCAAACCACTCAATACATTGAGACCTAAGTTGAGGGCCTTTTCCCCGAAATTGCCGGATCCTCTCTTCAGATCCATTTGAAACGTTTCCCTTTAAATACATATAGATTTTGATGTTTTAAATGATGGTAACATATTATAATCAAGTGGACACTTACCCCAAATTAACACCGACCCCGACATCCTTACCATGGGGGTTTTTGTGCGAATCCACGGTAACCAATGGCCGATCATTGAATGAAGGTATAGGTATGGGTATCGGGTAGTCGGGTCGGGGAGGGGGTATGGGATCCAATGGCGGCTCATCCACCTGTTTGTCAGAGTGCGGGATGTGATACCTCTGGTGAGGCGGTGGCAGCTCTTCCGACTCCTCCTCTTCGACGTATCGGAACTGTTTCTCGGATCCACTCTTTGCTGGAACTGATTCTTTACCGCATACGCCATAAAAGACAATCAAAATGATTAGCAATTTAATCATATCTAATGTTAAATCTAAATAATTTTGTTTATTTTGTGGTCAATCTATGGAAAAAATTTATCTCAACTCTAGTGAACAACAATCTGTTTTGAACAACACTTGTCTATAAGAGTGGGTTTTGCAATGTATCCCAAAACCAGTGAAAAATTCACTGTATTTCACAGATACCAAGCAATTATCATTAACTTTGAGGTTTTACTTCCTATTCGTGTCTCGTTATCAATGCTATTGGACTTTATTATAGGTTTGTTTGAAATGTAAATCGTTTCCCAAATGACTTTGACCTCACTTTTCATTTCATTATAAAATACACACTCTTTTCTTGTTATTTGTCTTTGCATTAAGTATTCAAAACTTTTCCAATCATTAAATGGAGAAAAAGTACTTAATTTTCTTAAAACAAACTCTTTTAACGAAAAAACAAATTACAATAAAAATACATAATCGTTAAGATATCTGAAAATATTTGAATATAACTTATATTTTCAGTAATTCTGTAATCAATCCAAACATGTCTTTAAAGTAAGAAAAAAGGTTTTTTTTGTGACCTAAATATGTATTCAATAGATTTGGTTGATTAGAGTTATTAAATAATAATAATGGGAGTGAATAAAAGTATGTTATGTTGTATTGCATTGCGTTTGTGTGCGAAATGTTATGTAAAAATCATATTAATTATGCAAAAAATTATTTAACCATTTGATTGAAATCGACATTTCATGTAATCAATCAATCATTGAATTCCGGATTCTGTTTGCACTCAATACAAGTGCTCCAGAATTTGTGTCCAATAATTAGTGATTATCTACTGATTTAATCATATTTATTACATATAAACTAATTATTGTTATTATTTCATAATTTAATCTCAAATTATAAAGTAATTAAAATAAGTTTTTGAACACAAATTGAAATCAATCAAAAAGATATGGTTTTTTCACCACAAAAATACATAACCAATAAAACCAAAGAAAACAATCATTTATTTAAATAATTTCTATATTTTTCATTTAAAATAAATCTCTAATTAAGGGTTGGATTAAAACTCTTTGGACTGAAGAGACGGCGAGACGTTTCGCTCAAATATAGTCTTCGGCACAAACGACTTCTTCTTCAGTGACTCCACTTGCGTGGCGTCAGTCGTGTCGTCCAACCTCTTGAGCAGCCGTTCCGACCTCTCCTTATCAATGGACTTCCCGATGGTTTTGGCGCCGATCTGTCGGTCGCCTAAAATGCTCTCCAGATTATAGCCAACGGTTCCCACGATTACCGCAAACGGGAAGACAATGTACGGCGAGTAGACTCGGAGGACGGCCCAAATGGCCGGCAACATAGCGTACGGACGGTGTGGACAGTGAACAACACAGCGGATCAATTGGTGGCCTTAAAGGCGGATCAGTTACTGGCGAAGACACTCAACGCAAAGACACACAACAATTGCATAATACATGTGATAACCATCTGATGTATGGCTAATGTATTGACACATTAATGACGTCCACGTATTGGATGTGAGCACTGCTTACGGCTTGTATTGACTACAATTCAAACCACGAGTTTTGGGGCCTTTTATGTGAAGACATAATATATGAATGCTTTAAATGTTTGCAATTATTTGCGCTAAAAGTCAAACCAAATGTGAAATGTTTTGTTAGTTTTTGTTTTGTCTGTAAATTAAATTAAAGGGAAATTAAGATAACATTTGTATTGATTATCACATCCTTTGGGACCAAAACGTGTGACAAACCATAAGAAGCGATGGCTTTTACGGTGGGATCCGTTATAATGAAATGCAAACCATTGGTTCACACATTGAATAACAAACAAAAGTCAAATCGATGTGACTTTTGCTTCAAAACAAAGTTTGTATTTTAATTGTTAATCAAGTCTTTGAGTTAATTATCTATTATTTGTTGCCATCTCTTCAGCGATAATCTGCGGAAGTGTTCAAAGTGTCAGTCAATGTATTATTGCGACCAAAAGTGTCAGCGAATGGATTGGAGTGAATGTCATCGACAGGAGTGTCGTATATTATTATTTGTTGCCATCTCTTCAGCGATAATCTGCGGAAGTGTTCAAAGTGTCAGTCAATGTATTATTGCGACCAAAAGTGTCAGCGAATGGATTGGAGTGAATGTCATCGACAGGAGTGTCGTATATATGCCGACCATTACGGCCGGTGTCTGACCGGCGATTGCGATCGACTCCTCTTAAGACTTCATCTCACGCTTGAGAATAGACCCGAAATGCGATCACAAACTCACGAGTTATTCAATGGCCAGAAACGGTGTTTCGATGATCTGATGACTCACAACGAGGACATCATTACCGACGGCCAGCGGATGAAGAATTTCGCCGCCATTTGCGACCGATT